TAAAACAACTTGCAACTTCTGAAGTGATGCAGCGTCAAGGTTGCAGTATATAAGTTCTGCATATGAGATGTGCGGAGCGACCAGTGCCTTAACGATTTTTAATTTAGTCTGTTGAGGTAACTGGTAGGCATTATGATATAGCTTTCTAAGAATGTTGTAAATTTTGTTAACTAAGTACTTGGTGTGGTCAACGCACGTTAACCTTGAGTTTATTCTATATCCTAAGTTTGTTACATTATCTTCATATTTAATATCTGTTCCATCAAGCGTTAGCGGAGAAGTACCGGTGAGGTCAAAATGTTTAGCCGACAGTGATATTGCTTTCGTCTTTGATGCATTCAGCTTGAGGTTATTAATTTTTGCCCACTTGGAAATTCGAGAGAGATCTTCATTAAGTCTGGCAATCAGATCTTCAACAAGACCAATCGGCCTTGACAAATATATTTGAGTGTCATCTGCATAGAGATTAATGGATGAACTTTGGCAACACTCCACTATATCGTTTATGAATGTGCAGAACAATATGGGACCCAGAATGGAACCCTGCGGCACACCAGATGTTACGGGCTTTAAGCTTGAATAATTTTCACCACATTGAACCTGCTGTAGCCTACCTGTCAAATAGATCTCCAATAATTGCAAAGAAAACGACCCGAACTTAAAGAGATTACCTAGCTTTCCCAATAACTTATAGTGGTCTATAGTATCAAATGCTTTTGAGAAATCAAGCAATATTAATATTGTTAACTGATTTTTATCAAAGGCTGGACGTATGTCTTCTAATACTTTCAGCATTGCTGTGGAGCAACTGTGCTGGCTTCTAAATCCCGACTGAAAATCACTTAGTAGACTATTTTTGTTTAAGTGGCCGTTAATTTGCCGTGACAAGAATTTTTCAAACACTTTAGAGAGCGCAGGTAAAATACTTATCGGTCTAAAGTGTTCGGGGGAGTTCGGACATTTAGTTTTAGGAACGGGTACTACATTTGCTATTTTCCAAAGTGAGGGAAAGGTGGATGAGGTAAGGCAAAAGTTAATTATATGAGTTAGTGACGGGATCACAAAGGGTTTAATCATTTTAACAAGTTTTAGACTAATGCCATCAACGCCTATAGCATTTGATTTAATGGCGTAAATACACTCAACCAAATCCGCCTCCGTTGCAGACTGAAATTGGAAGGCATTATCATCCATAAAAATAGGAGATTTTATGTTAAGATCAGGTGTTGATGGTGGAAATTACTTGTAAACTTGTTTTCCCCTGAAATGCCAAATGACTTAAGATTCTTCAACAGGACTTTAGACGGCAGGTTCGCGTTAAGTTTGTACTGTAAGTAAGCTCGTTTAGCATCACGAGTGCACGCCGTCACTTTATTTCTAATTAACCTGTATTTTTCCCAAAACTCAATGCACGAATGCCTTTTCCAAAGTTTATATGCTTTAGCGCGCTCTTTAATCAACGACAAGATCTCATGAGTGAACCACGGCTTCCTCCTACTTTGTACTTTTACCCTCCTTGCAGGGACAAAATTTTCAAATAATTGGCGAATTAGATGGTTGAAATATTGTAGCTTTTCGTCAACTGTCGTAAGAGACCAACACATATTCCAGTCAAGCAAGGCTGCCTGCTTATTCAACTCACTGTGATTGATTCGTTTAAAGTCCCTTATTAGAAGTACGCTTACTGGTTTCTGATTTTTATACCCGAGCGCACTTGTGCACAAGGGTATATTAATTTTGTTCACATAACGGTTGTTTGTAACAGCCAAAACGAATCGAGATAGATATAGACAAATGTATACATAAATGATCAGGATGAAAAAAGAAAT